GAAATAAATAAATAAGTATAGTATTCGTTCGGAAAAAAAAAAAATCGAGTGACCAAGACCGCTCTTGCTCAGAAACTAAAGAATTCATTACATCATCACGGGAAGTTGTATTCTGTCTTATTATATTATTATTATTATACAGTATTGATAAAGCGCCAATAGTTCGCTCAGCGCTGTACATTACAAAGGGGGGCAGAACATGTGACAGAACAATACCAATACAATGCAAAACATGAGGGGATCGAGGGCCCTGCTCTTTGGAGCTTACAATCTAGGAGGGAGGGGATGGTGGCACAGGAGGAGATAGCTGTGGGGGATGGGGTGGTAGGAAGAGTGGAGGAGGTCGGCAGGTTAGCAGGGGGTGGGGTAGGCTTCCCTGAAGAGATGGGTTTTCAGGGTGCGCCTAAAGGAGAGGAGCATAGGTGATAATCTGATGGGTTGGGGCAGGGAGTTCCAGAGGATGGGTGACACCCTGGAGAAGTCCTGGAGGCGGGCATGGGAGAAGGAGACCAGGGAACTAGAGAGAAGGAGGTCTTGTGAGGAGCGGAGTGTGCGTGTTGGGTGGTACTTGGATATTAGGTCGGTGATGTAGTTCGGGGCAGTATGGTGGACAGCTTTGTACGTCAGTGTTAGGATTTTGAATTTGATCCGTTGCGCAATCGGAAGCCAGTGGAGGGATTGGCAGAGGGGGGTGGCGGAGATGGAACTGTTGGAAAGGTGAATGAGTCTGGCAGCCATATTCAGGATGGACTGAAGCGGGGATAGCCAGCGGCGAGGCAGGCCAGTGAGGAGGGAGTTGCAGTAGTCGAGTCGTGATATGATGAGGGAGTGGATGAGCTGTTTAGTGGTTTCTGGGGTTAGGAACGTGCGGATTTTGGCGATGTCTTACGAGAAGTTCTGTATCTTTAGTAACCTATTCACTTTCCATAGGAGACTAGCATGCAAAAATAATTTAAAAAAACCAATAATTTATCTGATATTCTCATTGTAAAAGCTAATTTGGCAGATCTGATGTTGCTGTGATGTAATTCTCCTCATTCATCAGATTTCTTCTGGCAGGATGAATAGATGTGTCTGGTAATTGTATTGTTCTTTCAGATCAGTACTGAGACACTCACAAGTTTGCATTAATTGAGATGTAGGCACCCTCACAGCTGTACATATATGCCAGTATTGTTCTTTTATCAGCCATATCACTCTGAATGGATCCCCGCTGGGTGTCTTGCTTTGTAGTTTAAAAACACACAAACACCCCCTTGCCTCCAGTCCAGACACTTCACAGACACCAATAAAGTCCATTGTTCTTAGCAGTCCCTCAGAATAATGCCCTGTATAAGTGTTTAGAATATCGGGAAGGATCATCTTTTTTTTTTTTTTCTCCCCCTGTAGTCTCCTATCAAAAGTGAAGAGGTTACTGAAGTTACGTAAATTCTTTAACGACGGAATAAAAATTCTAAATAACTGGTTATATTTGCATAGTATTTTCGGACGACTACTGTACTAGTTAAACGAAAGTCGTACAATACAATACAAGATCAAACAAAAATGTTCCTGCTTGTGCCTTCTATTTTTTTTTTTTTTTTTTTTTTTTTTTTTGAGGATTGTGTACTAAAGATCAGATTATCATAACATATTCTGATTGTGAATACAGGGCTAAAAGGAATATGCAGGAATTTCCAGAGAGGACTGGCAGGAGCCAATACCAGTAGATAAGGCATTGACCTTTTTATAACTTTTAAGTGCATTGTTTGCATTAAATACAATAAATCACCTGGGCTTCTATGTGTGAAAACAATATGTGGGGGGAGAAAAAATCTATAATATTATTACATCGAGTTTATATAGCGACAAAGGGTTTGCTCAGCGCTGTACAATTGAGGGGGGGGGCAATACATGAAACAATACAGCAACTACAAACAGCACACGAGGGGTTAGAGGGCCCTGCTCTTTGGAGCTTACAATCTAGGAGGGAGGGGATAGAGGTACAGGAGGAAGTGGCTGTGGGGGATGGAGTGGTAGGAGGATGGCTGTTAGGTGAGGGTGGGGTAGGCTTCCCTGAAGAGGTGGGTTTTCAGGGAGCGCCTGAAGGTGAGGAGGTAGTGAGTTCCAGAGGATGGGGGAGGACCTGGAAAAGTCCTGCAGTCGTGCGTGGGAGGAGGAGACCAGGGAGCAAGATAGGATATATATATATATATATATAATGTATGTATGTGTGTATATATGTGTGTGTGTGTGTGTGTGTGTGTGTGTGTGTATATATATATATATATATATCTCCAGATATCAATCAATGCTGCTATTCAAAAGTGCAAAAAAACACCATAACATAAAATAATGAATAACACAGTGCAAAAAAAAATTTAAGTGAAGTCCAGAATCTTAAATAATCTGTGATTTAAGTGCTTCAGTAAAAGAAATCCGTGTCAAAGAAAGGAAAGTCCTAAAATATATATTATATATAGTGGTGCATCGAAATTAAAATTCTGGTGCTGAAAACGAAAATTCAAAATGCACTTAAGCGAAATGTGCAGTTTTTTTAAACTGAATATATTTTTTGGAAAAAAATTTACTTTGATTAAAAAAAGAACAAAGAAAAACAAAACCATAAATTCCCCAATTTTTTGGTACAATATGAAAGAGGATGTTACGGCGAGTAAATAGATACCCAACATGTCACGCTTTAAAATTGTGTACTCTCGTGGAATGGCGTAAAACTGCTGTACTTGAAAATCTCCATGGGTGATGCTTTAAAAATTTCTCTGACGTTCGTAGCGATACCTCACATGTGTGGTTTGAACACCATTTACATATGTGGGCATGGCCTACATATGCATTCACCACTACGTGGGGGGGGCAGGGGACACTTTAAACTTTTTTTTTTTTATTATTATTTATTTTCTTTTTTTTGCACTTTTAAAAACATTTTAATCAGTTTTATTCTTATCAAAAGAAATGCATGCATACCTTGTGATAGAAATAATTAGTGACAGGTCTTGTTTATGGAGAGATGTGGGGTCAATAAGACCCCACATCTCTCCTCTGCAATGTAAAGCTTTAGATAAAAAAAAAAAAAAAGGCCGGAATGGGAAGTGACATTGCTCTGGTCCTCCAAGGGCATAGAGATGAGTGGTGGCCATCTTTCCTTCACTCATCTCTATGCCCAGCGCCAGGTTCGAAGGTTTCTCAGGTAAGGCTGGGAACTACAGAGCGGTGGCGAGGGGCGGGTTTTTTTGGCACCTCTATCAGTGATTTTTTTTTTTTTCATTTCGGCCGACGGCTGAAAGAGGTGTTTTTGGCCGAAATTTCGGTGCATCCCTAATTATATATCCTGTTTCTTAAAAGCAAAAGATAACACCACGTAGTGCTCAGTGGACCCTCCCTTGTGTATTCCACACTTACCAGATATGATGGACTCCTAGCTTTTTGGGCTTAAGAGTCAAAAACGCTTATTTCCGGTGAGATGTGCTCACAGAGATATCCAGGGTTCAGCGGGGTACCAGACCCATGTATATGGGGTATAGGTGCAATTCATCAGTATGTTCCATTATTCACCATGCGGGCACGAGGGAAGCAGAAAGGACACCAATGGTGTAATATTGTTGGATTTATATATTCCAATAAAACATTGATACATATTCTATTCACATTAAGTCCGCAATACATGAGCCTTTAGATAATAATTCTTGCATAACCTCCAAAGGTAGTACAAGGCTAATCAAGATGACCATGGAGCGTCACTATGTGCGTACGCTCCACTCACCGGACGTGACGTCACACAGAGCTACTGCAACGGGAAATTGCGTCAACGCATTTCACCCCTTCGGGGGATCCTCACAGACCTGGTCTGTGACTCTCTTGACTCTTATGCAGGCCATAGATGGGTCGAAAATCGGCCGATTTTTCGGCCAAAAATAAAATCGGCCGATTTTCGGATCGTTAGTGGGTTAATTGTTCGGCCATTTTTCGGTATGTTGGCAGATTTTTTTTTATCGGTAAAGTTGGAAAAAGATTGGCCGATTTTAGCTGCAATTATGGGCAAATCGGCCGATCTTTTTACCAATAAAAAAATCTGCGCATGAGCAGTGACCTGTAGAGTAAGGAGAGGCAGAGTAAGGAGAGGCAGAGTAAGGAGAGGCAGAGTAAGGAGAGGCAGAGTAAGGAGAGGCAGAGTAAGGAGAGGCAGAGTAAGGAGAGGCAGAGTAAGGAGAGGAAGAAGATGAAGAAGAATAGGATGATGAAGAAGAATAGGAGGATGAAGAAGAATTCCAGTTCCGCAAAAAGTGTCCCTGCAGAGAGCTCCGCTATTTCTTTGACACTGCTTTGACATTTATAGCGGTTGCAACAATGTATCTATTTTTTTCTGAATAAAAACATCTGTATCTGAAATGGATACAAATAGATACATTGTTGCAGCCGCTATAAATGTCAAAGCACTGTCAAAGAAATAGCGGAGCTCTCTGCAGGGACACTTTTTGCCGGCTGTAGACTGGATGAAAATCGACCGTTTTTTTTTTTTTTTTTTTTGTTTTTGTTTTTTTTTTTTTTACCATTCCTGGTAACGTTGGCTGCTTGAACGACCAATTTTTTTTTTTTTTTTTTAAAGAAAAATCGGCCTGTTTTCTCCCCATCTATGGCCTGCATTAAGCCCACACCAGTACACACCTGCTATCATTTAAAGTTCCTCTGATTACCCCAAATAGAGTTCAGCTGTTCTAGTCGGTCTTTCCTGATATTTTCTTAGTCTCATGTATAACCAAAAAGCCCTTGCAGGTCAGGGGGAAAAGGGGGCAGTAAAACTGCAGCACAACCAACTGTTGTCTCTTCAGCCGCCCTTGTAAAGAAGGACTAACGAGCCCCGTGAAGCAGCAAAAAGCTTAACAGGGGCTCCAACCTTTTGCCCATCTTATCCAAAACTACAAAAGTAGACTATTGGGGTATAGATACACTTTTTTTTTATGCCTGCTGTCCTTCTAATGTTTTTTTTTTTTCTTTCTTCTTAGGTGGAGGAAGAGAAGAGGCGTCAGAAGATTGAGAGCTGGGAGAGTATGAAGGAAGGGAAGAGTTACAAGGTGGCTTCTCATGTCAGTCAGGTGAGGATGAAGATTTGGATTTACTCAACAGAATCCTTCCTGCTGGGCAGATATCAGTGCTTGTTTGGTCATTGATTGGTTACTTGTGGGAGAATTGAATTTTTAATGTATTTATTACAAGTATTTATATAGCGCCATCAATTTACGCCGCGCTTTACATATATATTGTACATTCACATCAGTCCCTAACCCTCAAGGGGTGTACAATGTAAGGTCCCTAACTCACATTCATACATACACATACTAGGGACAATTTAGACAGGAGCCAATTAACCTTTCAGCATGTCTTTGGCGTGTGGGAGGAAACTGGAGTACCCAGAGGAAACCCACGCAGGCACAGGGAGAACATGCAAACTCCAGGCAGGTGGTGCCGTGGTCGGGATTTGAACCAACGATCTTAGTACTGCCAGGCGGAAGTGCTAACCACATAGCCACTGTGCTGTCCTTGACTGCTTCAGTTTAAGTAAGCTAGCAAGCAACTTGAAAACATTATTATTATTATTTTATTATTATACAGTGTTTATATAGCGCCATAAAGTTTGCTCAGCGCTGTACAAAACATGACCATTTATCTTTTTTCCTTGCTCAAGTTGTCGCTTGAGAGCTTTACTGTGAACACTTTAGTGATGCTGGCATTAAATTGGTCAGGTATAGGTTAACCTCTTGGCGCTGGCCGCACGCAAATGGGCCTTGATGCCAAGCGGCCGCACATTTACATGCAATTAAGAAAAACGCGCTGAGAGCGCGCGCGCCTGCGCGCTCCCAGCACACATGTCCGGTACTCACGGAAAGGTCCTGATCTCCTCTTTCGATCGGGACTTTTCCCGATCATGTGACTGCCATGACAGCAAATCACGATGGTCACCTGACCCTAAAACCCCGCCCCATCTCCTGGCTTTTGAAACCCTTAAAGGGCCGGGAGGCGCCGGCACCAAGGGGTTAAAGGCCAACTCCAGCTAGAATCTTTAATATTTTTTTTGTTTGTTTTTTTTTTTATATGCAGGAGAGGAAGCGATCTGAAATCTTTCCAAGACAAAATACACATTTTAAGGTCCCCCTTGCGAATGGAGCTGTTAGCAGTTACATGCAGGAGACCCAGCCAGGATTCCTAGCAATTAGCCGGAGGTGGAAGCCCCACTGAAAGCAATGGGTGGCTGTCAGCTCCTGCAGCTAATTGCAGCCACTCTCATGTAATTGCTGATGAAGCGATTACCTGTGAATGCTTGGCCCTAGACACACACCGCTTGTGCCCAGGCTGATCATTTACAGGTTATCGCTTCATGAGCGATTACATTGTGAGTAGCTGCAGCCCCTCCTTTCTGCCTAATGTCCTCATAGCAAGTAGCTTGCTATGGGGGCACCCAAGCAGGCTTGCTCCTGAGCCACAGCTCTGTGTCCATTCATACATGGAGTGCAGCTCATATATGGAGTCCAGGGGCGGACTGACAACGCATGGGGCCCCTGGGCAATAGGGGATCATGGGGCCCCTGTGTCATTGCCCACACTCAAAAAAGACTATAAAAATGGTACCAGGGGCATTTCATGGGGCCCCCTACTGACCCCGGGTCCTCGGGCAGTGCCCAAGTGCTCGAATGGTCAGTCCGCCCGATGGAGTCCATTCATACATGGGCTGCAGCCTGCCTCTCTCCTCATTGGTTCATTGGCTGTGATTGACCATAGCGGGGGCCAATGGCTACCACTGCTGTCTCAGCCAATGAGGAGGGAAAGACCCAGGACAGCCAAGGCTCTCATGCACATTGCTGGGGTGCTGCTGCACACAACGTTTTTTTTAGAATGCGTAAAGGTTAAAAAAAAACCTTGAGGCTTTACAACCACTTTAAATACTTGAATAAAAATATTGAAAGTAAAGTATACTCCTTATTAGGTGGCCAGTGAGAAAAAATGGCCAAATTAAAAAAATAAAATCTGAATAAATTGTTGGTGGCAATAGTAACTTATCTAAGAGGCAAAAATTGCTCCGTGCTTACGGAAGCGCTAGTAATCTCTGGAACAGCCATTCTCAACCAGGGTTCTATGGAGCTCTAGGGTTCCTCCAGAGGTTGGCTGGGGTCCCTTGAGCTGTGGCTGACCGACCCTTCCGTTTGATGGTGTCAGAACAGTTCCAACGCCAACATCATTTGATAGCATCAGCAGCATAACACCAATGATCTTTTTGGCCATCTATAGAGGGGACATTATTCCCACTGACCAACCAATGAGATCTGAAAATGTATTCCAAGGGTTCTTCTAGGGTGAAAAGGTTGAGAGAGGCTGCTCTGGAGGAACCTTTGTTGAGAAAGGCCGGTCTCCAAATAAAATACGCTTGGTTAAAATGTTGCGTGTGATCAGGGGGATGGGTACTGACTCTACTGGGAACTTTTAAGGAAGGCGAGTTCTTACAGAAAAGCATTTATTCAAATCACTGCTCTTCTTTGTGTTCAGCCACAGGAGCCATCTGCAAGTACCTCTGCATCTTCTTCCGCCCCGAAGCCGAAACCAGACCGGAGAACTCTCAGAAACAGTGGTCAGTATTTCTAGAATTTTCAGGTCACCGGGGAGCCAAGCTAAAAAAGATGGTCATGAATTGAACATAAACAAGTATCTGTTCTGGCTTTACACTGCCAGGCATGTCAACTATTTAATGAATGCATGCATGTACAATATGAATGTTGTGTATGTGCTGCCAATAAAACTACAGGGGGCTTGTGGCCATGGTATACAATCTTCCTTGTTAATGGTCTGAAGGCCAAAACCTCGGGCTAGATTGCATTTTATGGACACTACACCCCTGCCCCCCTTGCTTGCTCACAAGGCTGAGCTTTGTGAGACTATATAGAGATACCACGGCTCATCACAAAGTGCTGCATTCAGAGAGCCTGTGTTAGGGATCCGGGTATGACCAGAAATGTGTGGACTGACACAGGGAAGTAGCAGGCTTCAGGAACACAGGCGTAGTCAGGGCTGGAGAGGTGGAATGGTCAGGCAGGCCGTAAGGTACTGTCAGGTGCCGCCTGGCAGTGTCTCTAGCAGCCCACACAGCACGGATTTCCTCAGGGCGCGGGGGGGGTCTAAGTCCCAGCCTGCTATTCACCAGGGCTCCTGATGGTGGGGATGGACTTGGTGCAGACTGGAACCAGGTCGCAACCTCTGAGTGCGTCCGGCTGTGGTAGAGAGTACCGGCAGGGGAGTGCAGGAACGGAGTCTGATGGGAAGAGGCAGGCAGACTTACTAACGGTGATCCTTGCGGGATGGATGGATCGTCGGGTGAAGTAAGCGTAGTCAGACAGGCCGGGTCGGTATCGTGCGGGCAGCGTGGTACAGGAGGAGCAAGCAGAGAATGGTCGGGGTCACAAGCCAGGTTCAGCAGGTAGCGGGCAGCGCAGTACCGAGGATCAGGCAGAAGGATGGTCAGGCAAGCCAGGGGTTCAACAGGAGACGGTCAGTAGAGGTCAGGATCAAAGCAGGGTCAGCAACGAGGCAGGAACACAGGATACCAGGTACAGGGGCTCATGGGAAACATACACCAAGGCCCTGATCACAGGCCTGGTCATTCCTTAAATACACTTCCTGCGATCAGCTTCAGGTGTTGGCTGACTGCATGAGTGAGCTTCTGGCTGCTGAGAGCACCTGCTGGTCAGCCCTTGTACTGCAGCCCACACGGCAGGTGAGTCCCACCACCAGTGCTGAGTCCATTCCGGACAGCCTGCTGGAAACCAAAGGCCCTGCGAGGGGCACAATTTTCAAGCATTTCCCATTTTTTTGGAGCCCATTTATAACGGATTAAAAAGATCCCCTTTTCAGCATATACAATACACAGGCATTAGACAAAAAAATGATTTGCAGGTGTGAAAGTGACGACATGTTTCACATTGAAAACAGAAGTGACGGAACATTTTTTTTGCTTCTGCTGTGTGATGAGACACCTACCTAACAGGTGGGAAGCCTCACTCTCCTAATTCGCTGCATGCGCTGCTGGTGAAATGCAGTCATTGCAGAGCTTACTGAGCTTCAAAGAGGTGTTGGTGACGCTTAGCTGGGTTTAGCTGCGACTGAAGTGGCCAATATATTTACCGTGTAGCGAGGCACTCGGCAAATGATGGCAAGGTTATGACGGCACATGCAGCTTCCAGGAAAACTTCGTCTGATAAGTAGAAGGCACACGGGGCATATAGACAACGCTGGTAACGTTAGCGATGTAAAGTCACATTAAAAACATGAGCTTTTCAGCTTTTTATAGTGTTTTTTTTGCATTCTCATTTAGCGTTTTTTTTGGGGGGGTTTTTTTGTGGTCAAAAAAACCTCCAAAAATGCCAGTCTGCAGCATTTTACCACGTTTAGCTGTGCTTTTCAGCTTTTTATAGCGTTTTTTGAATTCTCAACGGTTTATTTTTGTTTTTTTTTTTGGTCAAAAAACCTCCAAAAATGCCAGTTTGCAGCGTTTTACCATGTTTAGTTATGCTTTTCAGCTTTTTATAGCCTGTTTGCATTCTCATTTAGCAGTTTGGTTTTTTTGGTCAAAAAAACCTCCAAAAATGCCAGTTTGCAGCGTTTTACCTCGTTTAGCTGTGCTTTTCAGCTTTTTATAGCGTTTTTTGAATTTTGATTTAGCGGTTTGTTTGTTTTTTTTTTTGGTCAAAAAAACCTCCAAAAATGCCAGTTTGCACCGTTTTACCACGTTTAGCTGTGCTTTTCAGCTTTTTATAGCCTTTTTGCATTCTCATTTAGCAGTTTGGTTTTTTTGGTCAAAAACACCTCCAAAAAATGCCAGTTTGCAGCGGTTTACCATGTTTAGCTGTGCTTTTCAGCTTTTTATAGCGTTTTTTGAATTCCCATTTAGCGGTTTGTTTGTTTTTTGGCCGTGCTTTTCAGCGTTAGTGTTTTTTACAGCTAAAAAACTCCTCTAGAATCCCACTAGTTCTGGGTTTTTTTCCAGCCAAAAACATCCCTGCCAAAAAATGTTGATTCCAGTCTATGTGTGTATGGACACATCGGATAACATGCTGGGGGGTTACTGGTTGTAGAAAAAAACATCAAAAGCCAAAAACAGCCGCTGTAAAAACATCCCGTGTGCAGGAGGACTAAATGCAGTCGACCTGGTCAGCTGACCGAAAGACACAAAAGGACATTCCGCAGGATTGTGACCCGGAATAAGAAAACAACTGCTGCAAACGTGACTGCAGAGCTCAATCTCAGTCCTGTGAAGACTGAGATTGCGATTTCAATGCGAAATATGTCGTCACGACACTTGCCAGTCATGTAACCTCCATTTTCTTTTTTGTCTAACCCCTGTATGTTATATCAAACTTATCGCACACAAAACTCCATAGACTGAAAGTAATGAAGGATTCTGCCCCAGGTTCTTCAGGCACACCAAGGATTAATGTCCAGTAGTTTTCTTAGAATTGTACAGCAGAGCTCATAGTCTGCACAAAATTGAGATTTCAGTTTTAGCGCAGATGCTGTCAGGGTGACTTGTAGTGGACTACAGTGTATATCTCATAAAAGTTCAGCGCTATAGATAAATCTGTTAATAACGTGATAGTCCATGGTAACATGTATGATACAAAAGGTGATTTCAGACTTCAGTGGTATGCCAGGAAGGTATTGTAAAAATACGCACTCACCAGATGCGTATTTTATATACGCAAAATAATGTAACCACAGGTACCCCTCTCAGGATGGAATGGATGGGTATAGCCGTATTAATGGGTTATCCTCCCTCTGGATGACTTACAGCTAAACTGATGTCTGCTTTGGTGCGTTTCGATAGGATCCCACCAGAGGCCTCCTTAGTGGATGGATGGACGCTTGTCTGCCAATATTGGAACAGCTCACTCCTCTGGGATAAAGGCACTTGAACCACTGCTACCGTGTCATCCGGAAGGGCTCTATAAATGAATGTCAGCTCGCCATAGAGCCAAACAAGTAGCCCATAGTGTAGTAACTTAGTAAAGGGTATTTATGAAGTAATCCACGTGGTTAAAATACAGTAAATGGACAAAGTAATAAAACACTGACCAAACAATTTCAAGATGGCCGCCGGACCTGTACCAGGAGTCGGCGGCTAGATGTCACAGCGTGATGGCTCCTTTGACCCGTTTCGTGGTAAAGCACTTTGGTGTGTACTCTCCAGCGCTCCAGGAATTGCCAAAGGAAGGCCAGGGGACCAGAGCCAATGGTGGCCTATGGGTAACGTATCGGGGATGCAGCCCTCCTCCGATGGGGAAAATCAACAACTGGAAAAGGGAAAAGAGGTGGTGCAAACACCTAGTGCACTGGTGTCAAACTGGTGGCCCTCCAGCTGTTGCCAAACTACAAGTCCCATGAGGCATTGCAAGGCTGACAGTTACAAGCATGACTCCCAAAGGCAGAGGCATGATGGGACTTGTAGTTCTGCAACAGCTGGAGGGCCACAGGTTGAGCACCCATGTCCTAGATCAGGGGTGTCAAACTGGCGGCCCTCCAGCTGTTGCGAAACTACAAGTCCCATCATGCCTCTGCCTTTGGGAGTCATGCTTGTAACTGTCAGCCTTGCAATGCCTCATGGGACTTGTAGTTTGGCAACAGCTGGAGGGCCGCCAGTTTGACACCCCTGATCTAGGACATGGGTGCTCAACCTGTTGCCCTCCAGCTGTTGCAGAACTACAAGTCCCATGAGGCATTGCAAGGGTGACAGTTACAAGCATGACTCCCAAAGGCAGAGGCATGATGGGACTTGTAGTTCTGCAACAGCTGGAGGGCAACAGGTTGAGCACCCATGTCCTAGACCAGGGGTGTCAAACTGGCGGCCCTCCAGCTGTTGCCAAACTACAAGTCCCATCATGCCTTTGCCTTTGGGAGTCATACTTGTAACTGTCAGCCTTGCAGTGCCTCATGGGACTTGTAGTTTGGCAACAGCTGGAGGACCGCCAGTTTGACACCCCTGATCTAGGACATGGGTGCTCAACCTGTGGCCCTCCAGCTTTTGCAGAACTACAAGTCCCATCATGCCTCTGCCTTTGGGAGTCATGCTTGTAACTGTCAGCCTTGCAATGCCTCATGGGACTTGTAGTTTGGCAACAGCTGGAGGGCCGCCAGTTTGACACCCGTGCCCTAGATGTTTGCACCACCTGTTTGCTCTTTTGACTTGCCCTCATCATCCCTCTCTGCACTGACCTTGTGTAATCCTTTCTGAAGGCTGGGTGCTTGGCTAAGCATAGAGCCAGCACTTGCAGAAACATACAGAAAAGCCAACAACAATGTCCTAGAATGACCGGTTATTAAAGTCCCATATCATCAAAAACAGGAACATTTCAGGAGGACAAAGACCCTTTTCTTCAAGGAGACCGGCTCCGGAAGGGAGGTCTGCCTACGTCTGTAGGTCTGCTGTCTTGTATCCTGAAAAAAAAAAACACACATTCTGGAACATTGTCGAAGTGTTGGCTCTTCTTTACGTTATGGTGACTTAGAGGTTGTAAAACTCAGACATGAAATCTGAACAAAGCACATATTTCTGTAGTGTTTACTTGCCTATCTCCAGAGTACTTAGTGTCATTTCTGTCTGCTGCTTTGTTCCTCTGCTATCTGCTGACAGGTTTTTCTGGCACCAGAAGGTAAAAAGGTGACGGGGGAGGGAGCTCCAATGCATAGGCGATCTAAAAACGTTTAGAGATTAGTTTTGTAAAACAGATGGCAGCACAAGGCTGCACGTACAGTCACAGGGAGCACTGACCTTCATAAGTCAGTGTGCCAAAAGACATTGTCCTGTGTACATCGGGAGCTGTGCAACTGGTGCTATTCTGACCACGTACGCTACCACGTCTACTATTTCATCATGGACAGCATGTTAGAACAAAGAGCAAATGTGAAATTCTGCGTGAAACTGGGCAAATCTGCCACAGAGACGTTTGACATGATTTGGCAAGTTTACAGCGATGCTGCAATGAGTCGGTCGAGGTGTTTTGAGTGGCACAAGCGCTTCATGAGTGGAAGAACATCACTGGAAAGCGACGAGAGATTAGGAAGATCTTCAACGTGGATTGCTGTAGGAAAGTCCTGGATTCTTTCTTGGATACACAGAATATAACTGGATATAAAACATTTATAGGTGACGTTGATCCAGGGAATATCCGATCGCCTCTCGGGGGATCAGGAAGTAATTTTTCCCTGCAGGAGCAAATTGGATCATGCTTTGCTGGGTTTTTTTTTTTTGCCTTCCTGCAAACTTTTATTTTTTTTTTTTTACTGGTTGAACTGGATGAACTTTTGTCTTTTTTTTCAGCCAGAATAACTATGTAAAAACCATTTGGCTTTTGCGCATGTCGAGGATCATTACTGGTGACGAAACCTGGGTGTAAGGGTTTCAGGCAGAATTTCACGTTGGCTCTTTGTTGTAACTTGCTGTCCATGATGAAATTGCAGACTTGGTCAGGACAGCCCAACTCCCATTGTACACAATGATGTCTTTTGGCACACTGACTTGTGAAGGTTGGCACTCCCTGTGACTGTGCGTGCAGCCTTGTGCTGCCATCTTTTGGCGTGTTACAAAACTAGTCTCAAAACTTTTTGATACCACCTCGTAAGTTTGTACCTGTTTATTTGTAGAAACATAGAGACTTGGATACCACCTCCTATGTAGGGAGGATTTGTTCCCTCTCTGTGTATCCCCTGAGGCCAGTCACCTCACTGGGTATATGGAAGGGTTTACAGCCCACTTTAAGGCCGTAGGTAGATTGAAATCCAGTCGGTACAGCAAGGGACCATTCGAATTTCAATCCTTGGATGGACACTCAGGTTGTAAAGAAGTGCCACCCTGCTACATTTTACAATGACACAGCAGGGAGGATTCCCCCATCCACCTTGATGTGTGGATGGGAAAATTGGGTCAAGGTGTTTTGTTTTTTTTTGTTTATTTTTTTTTTTAAAATGTTTTTTTTTTATTCAACCTTGTTGGTTGTATAGCTATCCAGTTGGGGGAACGTGCCAAATGTCATGAGCAATCATAAAGGCTCTTTTTTTATCTTTTTAGTTCTCTTCACACCAAACATTGAAGTTCCAGTAGCAGAGAAAGACCCCCTTGGTTGGCCTCATTAACACATTAGTGGCTTTCCTGGATGAATTTAAATTAGTCAACAGGTGGGGGGGGGGGGGGTTATTTACTGAAACTGGAGAATGGTTTCTATGCAGAGCTTTGCAATCAGCTTCCAGGTTTTAGCCCTGGTTCACATATATGTGGCCGTGCGGGCCACGCTTTGCGCGGGCAAAGAGCCCATTCATTTGAATGGACGCCCGTGACACGCAGGGAAGAAGTCCCTGCACTTCTATGGAAAACGCAGCTCGCATGGGAACTTCGGTTCCCAGTACGGCTGCATTTTCCATTGCGGGTGGAGTGACATTAGAACTAATGGCACCCGCCCACGGGTCCGCATTTCTCTGTGCGGGCGGTGCGGCTGCACGGATTTTCGCTCCAATCCGCATCCGCACCACCCCGCACAGATGTGAACCTAGACTTATTGTCAGAGCTTTAAGGCTCCATGCACACAGGGTGTTGTGATAACGCTGGTGACGTTCGCTGTGTAAAGTCATGTTAAAAACATGAGTTTTTTTTAGCATTTTTGCATTAGTGTTTTGCCACGTTTACCGTCATTTTTCCGCATTTGTGTTTTTTTTTTTTTTTTTTTTTTTTTTTTTTTTTTTTTTTTTAGCGTTTTTTATTGACCGAAACAAAACTTTTGGTAAAAAAATATATTTTTTGGGGTAAAATATATATATATTTTTTGGGTAAAAAAATAACACACACACACACATATTTTTTTACGCCAGTTTGCAGCGTTTTACCGCATTTGTATATATAAAACGCGGTAAAACGCTACAAACTGGCGTAAAAAATATTTTTTTTGGGGGTAATATATATATATATTACAATTTATATATTTTTTTTTTATTTATTTTTTTTTTTATTAAACGTAAAACGCTGCAAACTGGCGTTTTTGGACATTTGGTTTGTTTTTACCAAAACCGCGTTTTTCAGTGTTAGAGCATTTTTACAGCTACTCTAGAAACCACTAGTTCTGGGTTTTTTTTCCAGCCAAAAAATGTCCCTACCAAAAAACGCCGATTCCAGTCTCTATGTGTATGGACACAACGGATAACATGCTGGGGGGTTACTAGCTGTTGAAAAAAATGTCAAAAGCCAAAAACAACTGCTGTAAAAAAACGTCCCGTGTGCAGGAGGACTTATTGAACAAGCTGAAGTTAGAAGCTGATTGGCTGCCATGCACAGCTGCACCAGATTCTGAGTGCTGCAATTTTAGTAACTCTCCCCCAATGGGTAACTTGATACAAAGAGCAACCTTAACCCTCACTACTGGTAATAGCGTTTTTTTTTTTTAATAGCGATTTAAAGGGTTCAGGAGCATTAGTGCTTTTACAGTATATGTAGGGGGGGGGGCGGAAGTTATTAAAAGCGTTTTTTAAGTAGCGTTTAGGACCGTTCAGTTTTTGCTTTTTTTTTCCTGCTGGAAAAACGCTCCCAAAAACTCTACAAAAAAATTTTTTTTTTTTTTTTTTTTGCTCCTAAATGCTGAGGCTTGAAAAACGCTTCTAGCAGCAAATGACGTGGGCACATGGGATAACACTATTCGCTTCTAGGAGCAGAAAATTAATACGGATAACTGCTTCTAGGTGCTTAAAGAAATGCTAGTGTGCATGGACCCTAAATAAACTGGGGGGTTTGATAGGACTTTAAACAGGTGAGAGCTGCTGCCTTTGAGATTAGGTTGAGGCTGCTGCTTTATAGTCCTTCATGTTCCAAATCACACAATGGAAACCAACATAACGGCTACAGCTAGGTCAATTTGTTTGCAATATTAACGGCTTCCCCTCCGTCCTATAGCAGATATACTGCTACAGGGCAGAAGTGTGTGTGTGTGTGTGTGTATTACAGTGATTACTCGCTGGTGATCGCCGAGTATCGCCGACGGGGGAGACAACACAGATCTCTCACTTGTCAGCTCCTGCACACTGCTTTGTATGGCTCTGCATAGCACTGTGATTACAGTGAAGTGCCCACATAGTAAAACAGTACACAGTTAACCCTTTGATCGCCCCTCTTGTTAACCCCTTCCTGCCCAGTGCCATTAGTACAGTGTCAGTGCTTTTTATTAGCACTGATAACTGTATTGGTGTCACTGGGGATGTCCATTTCCCCCCAGTGTCAGAATGCCCGCCGCAGTCCCGCTAATCACCGCTATTACTTTAAAAAAAAAATTAGAATGAAAAAATTCCAGTATCTATACCGCCATATGTAAATGCTATAATTTTCATGCAAACCAACTAATTTATACGTATTGGGATTTTTTTTTTCTTTAGCAAAGACATGGAGCAGAATACATTTTGGCCTAAATTTATGACTAAATTAGATTTTTTTTTTTTTAACTGGACATGTTTAATTGCAAAAAGTCAAAAATATTGTTTTTTCTTTCTCAAAATTGTCAGCCTTTTTTTGTTTTGTTTTTTGACCGCACAAGCGATCAGATACCACCAAAAGAAAGCTCTATTTGTGGGGGAAAAGGGACATAAATGTAATTTATGTACAGTGTTGCATGACCGCGCAATTGTCAATTAAAGTAACTCAGCGCCGTGTCGCAAAAAATGGCCTAGTCAGGAAGGGGGGTAAATTCTCTGGAGGGCAAATGGTTCAATTGACTCTTCTGTAATTTATTAGACCTGCACATATCATTAATATATTTGTTTTTGTTTTTGTTTTGTTTTTGACTTTCAGGTTATAATCCTCTGACTGGCGATGGAGGCGGCACCTGCGCTTGGAGACCGGGACGAAGAGGACCCTCTGCAGGGGGATGAGGTTAAACTGCCTTGCTGGTATTTTGTCTGTAACAAATGCCAGCAAGGTGAATGGACTGTACCGCCTGCCAAAGCAGCGTCTTTGTTACTGCTCTGAAGGATCTGGTGACGCAAGTCATCGTCTGGAGTGAACGTTGGATCACGCTGTGTGTGTTCTAGCGGGTCTGGGTATATTTTGCGTACCGAAAAGACAGACCTTCGACTAGAATGTTGCGTTGGATTTCCAGAAAAGTTGATTTGTCCGGTTACCAAATACTGTTTACTGCAGTTTGACGCTCCTAATGACGTCACCCTTACAAATGGTCTGTAGCCAATAAGGTTGACTGATGTTGTGTGGGCGGATAGCCCTCGTGTACTTGTCTCTTTACTATTGTATCTGTCCGAAAAATAGATGCCTTGCACCTTCAGCCAAAATGGTACAATCTGTCTGGATGGATAGAAGGCTCTCACTCCCATAAGTAATAAAAAAAAATATATATATATATATATATATATATATATATATATATATATATATATATATATATATATATATATATATATATATATATATATATATAAAATCTTTTTTTCTTTTCTTTTTTTTTTTTTTTCTTTCTTTTCTAACCATGCCATGAGGCTTACCCTTTCAAGCTTTACAAGAAGTTAATAAAAAAAAAAAGAGTGTCTGTATCTGCTCTGTTTCAGTAAAACATTTATTTTGTGTTTTTATAGAAAATATAGAATTTAACAGTTGATAATTGGTACACTATGGTTCTTAAAAAAAAAAAAAAAAAAAAAAAAAACAAAAACTCCCTTAAAACTTAATAGAAGCTAAATTGTTAAAGACAAAGTTGGAAAAAAAAAAAAAAAAACCTAGTGAGTGACCACATTTTTTTGCAGGACTGGTAAGCAATAGTGTAGTGAATGTCCCATGCCTGCTGGTTTCAACAAGATGGAGCGGTAAAACACTGGCAAGCCTCTCTGCCTGTGCGCTCCTCTTTTTTTAACCACTTGCCGCCTACATGGGACTTTCAGTGGTTATAACCGGATCATCCTGGTATTGTTTGGGTTTTTTTTTTTTTTTTTTTTTGTGATTGGATTTGTTGTAATTTGTTGTAAAAGCAATCCTAGCAGCTAAATAGCTGCTGGATTGCTTTCACAGGCAGTCAGAGGATCATCCCCCTCCCTCCTGCCACCTTGTCAGGCTCTCCCATCACACCGGGGAACTCAGGACTGCAGCCGGCGGTTGCGCCGGTTGACCATAGAGCTGATTCGGGACCTGAATGACCCAGATCATCTCTATGGTCTATGTAACTGGAAGCGATTTTTGAGTATTTCGTCACTTACGGTTTCAGCGGTGGTAAACAGACCATTACTGGTTTGAAAAAAGCATTGGATCAAGACCAATCATGGCAAGATCTGAAGCCTTTAAGGTCAGAGGAGACATCGGGGGTCTAATATCCCCTAGATGTATCAGTAAAGAGGACCTGTTACTGCAATAAAAATGATTAAAAAAAAAAAAAAAAAGATACAATGTAAGAATAAACAAAAAAATTTTCAAGCACCCCCCTGTGCTCACATGCAAAAGCGTACGCATGCGTTGGTCCTTGCGTCTGTATGTAAACAGAGATCACACCACACATGTGAGTTATTACTGCAAATGTCAGATCAGGAACAATAATTCTAACACCAGGCCTCCTGTGTAAATCTGAAGTGGTGACCTGTAAAGGCTTTTAATGTGTCGCCTGTGGAGATTTTTAGGTACTGTGGTTTAGCACCGTTCCACGAGCTTGCGCAGTTTTAAAAGCGTTTTCTGTGGATAATATAATGTACGCAGTTTGTTACCATTCCATGGGTGTGCGCAGTTATAAAGTGTGGCATGTTTGGTATCCATTTTCTTGGCGTAGCATCATCCTTTATATTTTGCCAAACAATTGGGTATTGTATTGTGTTTTTGTGCAATTAAATTCATTAAAGTCAATTTTTCCCCAAAAAATTGCATTTGAAAAACCGTTGCACAAATACCGTGTGACAAACCCCAGATGTCTCCATAAAGAGGACCTGTCATCCCTTATTTCTGTCACAAGGGATGTTTACATTTCTTGTGATAGGAATAAAAGTGATCAAAAAAAAAAGGGACAGTATAAAAAAAAAAAAAAATTTTTTTTTTTAAGCACCCCGTCCCCCTCATGCTCGCATATAGAAGTGAACGCATACGTAGGTCACTCCACATATGTAAACGGTGTTGGCACCACACATGTGAGCTATCCCCGTGAACGTTTTAGCGATAGCAATAATTCTAGCACTAGACCTCTAACTAAACTGGCAGCCTGTGAACATTTTTAAATGTAGTTTGGCATCATTCCATGAGCGTATGCAATTTTAAACTGTGACATGTTTGGTATCCATTTACTCGGCTTAACATTATCTTTTATATTTTGCAAAAAAGGGTTATATTTGCTGCTTTGTTTTGTTTTTTGCATTAAAATTCATGAAAGTGTATTTTTTTTTTTGTTAAATTGCCTTTGAAAAATCTACTGCACGAATACCGTGTGATGTAAAAATTTGCAACGACTGCCTTTTTATTCTCTAAGGTCTCTGCTTAAAGAAAAAAAAAAAAAAATATACAGTCATTTGTGAATGATTGCATCAACTGTTGTCACCTTCTCACCAAGCTGCTTGGCAATAGTTTGGTAGCCCAGTCCCGCCTTGTGTAGGACTACAATCTTGTCCCTGACATCCTTGGACAGCTAATTGGTCTTTGGCATGGTGGAGAGTTTTGGGAATCTGATGGTTTGATTGCTCCTGTGGACAGGTGTCTTTTATACAGGTAACAAAATGAGATTAGCAGCACTCCCTTTAAGAGACTGCTTCTAATCCCAGCTTGTTACCTGTATGAAAGACACCTGGTAGCCAGAAATCCTGCTGAATGATAGGGGATCAAATCCTTATTTCCCCCATGAACATGCAGATCAGTCATCATTTGTTAGACATGAATCTCTTTTGAATTTTTTTGTTGCTATTCTGTCTCTCAGTGTTACAATACACCGAACATTCGATTTTTAGACCGATCATTTTTTTTGTGAGTGGGCAAACGTTCAACATCAGCAGGGGATCAAATACTTATTTCCTTCACTGTGTGTGTGTGTGTGTGTGTGTGTGTGTGTGTGTGTGTGTGTGTGTGTGTGTGTGTGGAGAGAGAGAGAATGAATATGTTTTGGGGTTCTGAGTAATTTTTACATATAGGAGAGAAATGCCTGAATTGTCCTGGGTGGGAAGTTGTTAAACACGTATATTATAGTTAGTTTCAGAAAATTACAGGGATAATCATTAGTCTCATCAGTGTTTAAAATGTCACCAGTCACTACACCAGTTTTTCTGCCTGGAAGCCTAGAAATCATTCACTGGGGGCATAATGAAGTGGCCATGCACATGGAATTGTTCGATTGTTCGTTCTATCTTCGTAGACATCTCTTGATGGATACCACTTGACTGCCACCAAAGCACACACTAAATACCCCCCATTTAGCACCGGGGGGCAATGTACTTGTCCTACTTGAAAGCAGAAACACGCTCCTATGCAAAATCTACCTATAAAGATCCACTGCAATGGTGACTGCTATGTGTGAATAAAAGCCTTCATAGAAAAGTGAACAGGGCCTAGTGTGACTGCAGTTATGGAGTTCAGTAATGAAGACTTTAGTAAGCATCGTGCAATGCACATGTGTGTATGAACCTTTGGTGGTCATGTAGGAACTGGAGGAGGTTTTTTTTTTTTTTTTTTTGATTTGTTTTTTTGCCCCAGTGTGATTATGAAATTCCTGCATTTTCATAACCTCCCTGTGGTGGGGTCATTGTCTTTTCCGTATTACCAGACCCAGATATCAAGGTGGCTTCTCCCCTTCCTATGAAATTGTATTGTTTCCTATTAGTATTTAAAGAATGGGAGCAACAGACTGTCTAGTCTCCTGGTGCTCAAGCTGTGGCCCTTTGGTATATGATGTGTGACCCTTGGACCTCAGCAGTCTGTAGTGGGGCATTGATGAGGGTAATAGCATTGATCTCTACCAGCCTCGTGTAATGTGTTCCCAGCTCCGTACTGTCTTCTGCAGCATTAATTATTATTCTACAAGATTTATATAGCGCCAATAGTTTGCGCAGCGCTTTACAAAATGAAAGTAGACATTATAGTTACAATACAATTTGGTACAAGAGGAAACAGAGGGCCTGGCTCGTTAGAGCTTACAATCTAGGAGGAGGGGTTGAGTGATACAAAAGGTAATAGCTGTGGGGGGGAAGAGCTGATGGAGGAAATAAATGGCGGTTTACTAGGTAGAAGCAGGATAAGCTTTAAAGAGAGAGGTTTTCAGGGATCGTTTGAAGGTGGATAGATTAGGAGACAGCCGGACAGGTGATGGTAGACGATCGGGAGAAGTCCTGGAGGCGAGCATGGGAGGAGGTGACATGGGAACTAGAGAGCAGAAGGTCTTGGGAGGATCGAAGAAAGCGGTTTGGTTGATATTTTGAGACCAGGTTGGTGATGTAGCTGGGGGCAGAGTTGTGGATGGCTTTGTAAGTTGTTAGTATTTCGAATTTTATTTGTTGGGTGAGTGGAAACCAGTGAAGGGATTGGCAGAGAGGGTGGAGGACAGTGAGTGGAGGCCAGTGGAGGGATTGGCAGAGAGGGGTGGAGGACACTGAATGGAGGCCAGTGGGGGGATTGGCAGAGAGGGGTGGAGGACACTGAATGGAAGCCAGTGAAGGCATTGGCAGAGAGGGGTGGAGGTCACTGAATGGAAGCCAGTGGAGGGATTGGCAGAGAGGTGGAGGACACTGAATGGAAGCCAGTGGAGGGATTGGCAGAGAGGGGTGGAGGACACTGAACGGTTGGAAAGGTGGATGAGCCTGGCAGCAGCATTCATGATGGACTGGAGGGGGGATAGTCTATGTAAAGGTCAGCCAATGAGGAGAGAGTTGCAGTAGTCAAGGCAAGAGATACCCAAGGAGTGAATTAGGAGCTTTGTGGTATCATTGGTTAAAAAGGGGCGTATTCTGGAGATGTTGCTGAGGTTGAGGCGCTATCATAGGACAGGGATTGGATGTGGTCCTGAAAGGATAGTTCAGAATCCAGGGTTCCCCCTAGCACCCTGGCATGCGGGATGGGTTGATAGCGGTGCTATTGATCCTGACCGAGAAATCAGGGGAAGAGACACGTGGGGGAGGAAATATTCTGAGCTCAGTTTTGGACAGATGAGTTTTAGGAAGTGGAGTGCATCCAGTCTGATATATCTGTTAGTAAATAGGTGATACGTGAGGAAACTGATGATGGGGTGAGCTGAGGAGTAGAGAGATAGATTTGTGTGTCATCAGCATAGACATGGTATTGGATACCATGGGAAGCTATCAGGTGACCCAACCCATATCCCTGGCCAACAATGGATCCTGGCCACCCTCTCTGACCCTTCATCTCCTCTTTTAGGTCTGCAGTCTCTGACCGTCCTCCCATGCATTACATATATTGAACACATGCTTTGTTTACACTGATAATCAGGGTGCCCTATCAGTTCCTCCTTATCAGTGCAGCCTCAATCTACATACAGTTGTGTTCAAAATAATAGCAGTGTGTTGAAAAAAGTGAATAAAGCTGAAAATCCTTCTAATAGCTTTTATTTCCATCCACACAAATGCATTGGGAACACGACACATTCTATTCCAAATCAAAACATGAAGAAAAATACATCAAATTTGTGTTGTTCCTCTAAAAAAAATTGGAGAAAAGTGAATATTAGACGGTTCCAAAAAATCGCAGTGTTTGTATTCTTCTTTACAAACTCAAACATTCACTATATAAACTGAAAAATGTTTGAAGATTTTGCTTTCCTTTGAATGACTTCATGAATATTTGGTTGTAGTCGCACTGTTTCTGAGAACTGCTGTACATCTGTGTTGCATGGAGTCACCCAACTTCTGGCCCCTGTGATCAGGTATTCCAGCCCAGGATGATTGGACCACATTCCACAGTTCTTCTCTATTTCTTGTTTTGGCCTCAGAAACTGCATTCTTGGTGTCACCCACAAGTTTTCTATTGGATGAAGATCCGGGGATTGGGCTGGCCACTCCATAACGTCCATCTTGTTGGTCTGGAACCAAGATGTTGCACGTTTACTGGTGTGTTTGGGGTCGTTGTCTTGTTGGAACACCAATTTCAAGGGCATTTCCTTTCAGCATAAGGCAGCATGACCTCTACAAGTATTCTGATGTATTCAAACTGATCCATGATCCCTGGTATGCGATAAATAGGCCCAACACCATAGTATGAGAAACATCCCCATATCATGATGCTTGCACCACCATGCTTCACAGTCTTCACAGTGTACTGTGGCTTGAATTCAGTGTTTGGGGGTCGTCTGACAAACTGTCTCCGCCCACTAGACCCAAAAAGAACAATCTGTCATCAGTCCACAAAATGTTGCGCCATTTCTCTTTAGGCCAGTCAATGTGCTCTTTGGCAGATTGTAACCTCTTCAGCACGCGTCTTTTTCCCAACAGTGGGACTTTGCGGGGACTTCTTGCAGATAACTTGGCTTCACATAGGCGTCTTCTAATTGTAACAGTCCTCACAGGGAACGTCACACCTTCTTTCATCTTCCTGGAGCTGATTGTTGGCTCAGTCCGCGCCATTTTGGCTATTCTTCTATCCATTCCAATGGTAGTTTTTCGCTTTCTTCCACATCTTTCCGGTTTTGGTTGCCATTTTAAAGCATTTGCCATCATTTTAGCTGAGCAGCCGATCATTTTCTGCACTTCTTTATATGTTTTCCCCTCTCCAATCAACGTTTTAATTAAGGTACTCTGTTCTTCTGAACAATGTCTGGAACAACCCATTTTCCTCAGAATTTCAGAGAGAAATGCACTGTAACCAGCATGTCCAACATTTGCTGCCTTCCTTCCTTAAATAAGGGCAATAATTGCCACCTGTTTTTCAAAGAATGAATGACCTCACTAATAGAACTCCACACTGCTATTATTTTGAACACGCCCCTTTCAATGAGTGATTCAATTACACAGAATCAGCAGCATGCATGTCATGACTGTCGGGTCTGTTGGATTTCTATGACTCTACTACACCTGCTAGGAAATTATTTGCCATGTAGAAATATCATTTCTACCAAAAACAGTGATTGATCCGGTTAGTGATGTCTGACTGCTAGTATTTTGAACACAACTGTGTGTGTGTATGTATATATGTATATTTATAGATAGATAGATATAATATATGTTTTGGGGTTCTGAGTAATTTTCTAGCAGAAAAATGATTTTTACATATAGGAGAGAAATGCCTGAATTGTCCTGGATGGGAAGTTGTTAAACACGTATATTATAGTTAGTTTCAGAAAATTACAGGGATAATCCTTACTCTCATCAGTTTAAAATGTCACCAGTCACTACACCAGTTTTTCTACCTGGAAGCCTAGAAATCATTCACTGGGGGTATAATGAAGTGGCCATGCACATGGAATTGTTCGATTGTTCGTTCTATCTTCGTAGACATCTCTTAATGGATACCACTTGACTGCCACCAAAGCACACACTAAATACCCCCCATTTAGCACCGGGGGCATTGTGCTTGTCCTACTTGATTGATCCGGTTAGTGATGTCTGACTGCTATTATTTTGAACACAACTGTAGGTGAAGATATAAAATTTACTTATTTACAAAAGTACCACCAAAAGAAAGCTCTATCTGTCTCAAAAAGAGATACAAATTTCAGTTGGTTAGGGTGTTGCATGGCCAATTGTCATTCAAAGTGCAACAGCTCTTAAAGCTGGGCAGGAGAGGGGGTAAAAGTGTCCGGTATTGAAGTGGTTAGACTGAAAATTGTTGAGCAAAATTCTATTATACAGCTAGCTATAGAGTTAGGAATTCATGTCTTTCCCTTTGTTCCCTGGCTTGGGATTCCTCTAATTCTGGAAGCATACCTTAATGAAAACTCATCAGAATGGTAATTCTGACAATATGGCTACACTTGGGTCAAACCTGTTACTCCTGTGAATGCTGTTTGGCAGCCCTAAGTGACGTATCTCGCTGAACAATGTGATGAGTGATCCCTGAAATGGAAGGTGATTTTTTTTAAAAGTAAAATCAAAGGTTTTCAATGCTTGAAGCAATTAGTTTGAAATATTACTCTCACTTTATCAGCTGTCATTACTGAGTGACGTTTAGTAGATACAGTATCTATTGATAGGCCTGGGCCCAGCCTGTGACCTTGTGGCTGCATGCAGCCCTTTGGTACGTTTTGCGTGCTCATTGTGGGCCCCAGTGTTTATTGTCCTAGTATGGCAATGATTTCTAGTAGTCTCATGTAATATGGCTACAGTCTGGCAGTGTCCTGAAACATGTCTCCAGTCTACAACTCATATAGCCTACAGTATCATATCCCCAGTCTCCGACCATTTCTTATATCGTGTCCCCGCTCTCCGACCATTTCTTGTATCGTGTCCCCGCTCTCCGACCATCTCTTGTATCGTGTCCCCCTCTCCGACCATCTCTTGTATCGTGTCCCCAGTCTCCGACCTTCTCTTGTATCGTGTCCCCAGTCTCTGACCTTCTCTTCTATCGTGTCTCTCGACCATCTCTTGTATCGTGTCCCCACTCTCCGACCACTCTTGTATCGTGTCCCCACTCTCCGACCACCTCTTGTATCGTGTCCCCACTCTCCGACCACCTCTTGTATCGTGTCCCCACTCTCCGACCACCTCTTGTATCGTGTCCCCACTCTCCGACCACCTCTTGTATCGTGTCCCCACTCTCTTGTATCGACCATCTCTTGTATCGTGTCCCCACTCTCCGACCATCTCTTGTATCGTGTCCCCACTCTCCGACCATCTCTTGTATCGTGTCCCCACTCTCCGACCATCTCTTGTATCGTGTCCCCACTCTCCGACCATCTCTTGTATCGTGTCCCCACTCTCCGACCATCTCTTGTATCGTGTCCCCACTCTCCGACCATCTCTTGTATCGTGTCCCCACTCTCCGACCACCTCTTGTATCGTGTCCCCACTCTCCGACCACCCTCTCCGACCACTCTTGTATCGTGTCCCCACTCTCCGACCATCCTCTTGTATCGTGTCCCCACTCTCCGACCTTCTCTTGTATCGTGTCCCCAGTCTCCGACCATCCCTTGTATCGTGTCCCCAGTCTCCGACTTCCTTGCATCGTGTCCCCACTCTCCGACCACCTTTGCATCGTGTCCCCACTCTCCGACCACCTCTTGCATCGTGTCCCCACTCTCCGACCACCTCTTGCATCGTGTCCCCACTCTCCGACCACCTCTTGCATCGTGTCCCACTCCCGACCACCCCTTGCATCGTGTCCCCACTCTCCGACCACCCCTTGCATCGTGTCCCCAGTCTCTCCGACCACCCCTTGCATCGTGTCCCCAGTCTCCGACCATCCCTTGTATCGTGTCCCCACTCTCTGACCATCTCTTGTATCGTGTTCCCAGTCTCTGATCATCTCCTGTAGTATGTCTGAAGTCTCTTACCATCTATAGCATCGTATCCCCAGTCTCTTACCATCTTCTGTAGGTTGTCTGCAGTCTCTTACCATCTCTTGTATCATGTCTGCAGTCTCTGACCATCTCTAGTATCAAGTTCCCTGTCTCTGACCATCTCCTGTAGTATGTCTGAAGTCTCCGATCATCTATAGTATCGTGGCGCCAGTCTCTGACCATCCCCTGTAGATTGTCTGCAGTCTCTGACTATCTCTTGTATCATGTCCCCAGTCTCTGATCATGTCTTGTTTCATGTCTGCAGTCTTTGACATCTCTTGTATCAAGTCCGCAGTCTCTGACCATCTCCTGTAGTATGACTGCAGTCTCTGCCCAACTCTAGTATCGTGTCCCAAGTCTCTGCATATCTCTTACATTGTGTTGCATTGTGTACCCAGTCTCTGGCCATCTCTTGCATCGGGTTGCATGTTTCTGACTATCTTTTATACCATGCCTGCAGTCTCTGACTGCCATCTGCAGTGATTGTATGCAAAAAATCCAACAGACTGGTTGTATCGAAGTCGATCGATGGATCACTTTCATTACAACAAGCTATCTTATAGATGGATAAAATGTCGGACCATTCCTGCTGAACCAGACTAGAGCCAATCCATCACTATCCAGCTTAATCCCAAAATAAGGAAACCATCATTGGGGCCT